TGAAAGCTTCGTAACTATAGCTTACTACATGGATCTTTATGGAATATTTGTACATGTAGCTAAATTCATGAACATCTTTTCTTTTTGCACATACTTGCATTCAGCAAAGCACGTATCTCAGGACCAAATTTGCACGCTCATGTGGGGATTACATATGGCACCACCGTAACTCTGTAAGTGGCCAACTTCCTGTGAATTTGTGTACACCCTTAGTGCAACCATAAATAAAAGAGGAAACTAAAAAGTTCTGTAGTAGAACTGCATCATAGCAGATTTTATACAAGAAGCTACTTTTATAATTTGACCTCTGTACAAAGCCTGATGCTTTCTTTTCTATCCCAACTACGAATGTGTTTATTTGTTTTTCTACTATTTACTCTAAAAGTATCGCTTCAGTAAGGCTCCTTCCTTCTCAAAATCCTGTTGAATGGGCAGTCACACTGCATTGCAGATGAAATGCCTAAATGCAGACCATTTCTGTGGTGCAGTCCAAAAATTTAGGCCTTGTTCATTTTAAGTAGGCTACAGGTTAATATCAGAATGAGCATTAATTGCAATAATTTTTTTTTTTCTTGTTTGGGGACCTGCAGGTGAAAGAAAGAGATACCACTTTAATATGCATTGCAAATCGTTATGCAGATACTGTTCATTACTTAATATTAAATTTTGTCTATTAGAAGTTACTTAGAGACTGACATTGGGAAGGTATTGTCATGCTGTGCAAAACATTTGCAGTGACACAGAAGAAGTCCCATGCTAAAACAAACAATATGTGTTCTAAAGAATCATAGCACATGCGCATGCATTCAATAATGCGTCTTCTCCATAGAAATAAGTAGGATGTGACAGAAGTTGTTTCCTTCAATTTATTATTGAATAGTGCCTCAAGAAGTATAGTAAGCTGCCTACAGATTTATTGTAATAGCCCATCATGGTAATTGTATGAATAAATTTCTCAGCTGGACATTCAATCATTTTGTCTTTGATACAAATACAGAGAAAGGGGAGAAATTCCTTCTATGTTAGGAATCCTCATACAGAAGCAGAGCAAATCAAACCATTCAGATGCTCAATTCTGTAATTCCACCTACAATGTTATATTCATCTTCTAGCACTAGCAGGGATAAGTATGAAAGGATGTGGGATTTGTTTAGTGAAAGTCTATTGTAAAGACTTTTTACATATAAAGGTACATTAAAACTTTTCTTTGCAACTACCCCCGTGAAAAAAAATATGCAGAGTTGGTGGAGAATGCTGTGCTCTTTCAAGATGTTGTCTACAGCTTCTGAGCTCATGCCCTGTTAAATTCTGTACATTTGTAATATAGATCAGGCCTTTTAAAGCCTCTACGTATTATTGGTTTCATCCTTGTGAAGTCTTGTATGACTTTTCCAGAAAGTTACAGCTTAGTAAGTAATACCCCAAATCATACATGAAATACATTTATCTCCTGCTTTAAAATAATAATAACCGAACACTCGGGTGTTATCCTAGAGAAACTGAAACCAGGGAGACTTTTCTACTGAATTTTCCATGGCAAGCGTTTCACCCGTTCCTGAAAAAAAGTAGAATTCTTTCCAATCTTTTTCTTTGGCTTCCCAGAGTGCTCACCAGGAACATTTGGTTATGGTTGCAAACAACTGTGTGAATGCATGAATAATGCTACGTGTGACCATGTCACAGGTACTTGCTACTGCAGTCCAGGCTTCAAAGGAATCCGATGTGATCAAGGTACAGTGACATTCTATCTGTAAAATATCTGTATATCTGTCTCTCTCTTTGTCTCTCTCCCCCTCCATTGATGTACTTACTTTAAAAAAATAGCATTTCAAAAATGAAATGCACGATTCAATTTACAGTGTGTTATGAATTACTTTTAACAGCGGCTCTTATGATGGAAGAATTAAACCCCTATACTAAAATTAGCCCTGCTCTTGGATCAGAGAGGCACTCAGTGGGAGCAATCATTGGAATTATTATTCTCCTTCTAATTATTATGGTCTTGCTGGCACTGTTTGTGTGGTATCGACGGAAACAGAAGGAGAAGGGCCATGACATGCCAAGTGTATCTTATACTCCAGCCATGAGGATGACTAATACAGATTACTCACTTTCTGGTAAGGGTCTTTTTATGTTAATCAAATATAGACTCATATTCCTGTATGTTGGGGAAATACAAGCTTCTGTGATGTATAACATGCGTTATTGAGCCTCAAAAATAACGACATTTCTATTCTTCCCCTGAATACTGTGATCTTTTAACACTTAACAGGGACAGGAAAGCAAATACAACTTAAAACTGATTTAAGCTGCTTTACATATCAAAGTTTACTTAACACGATACAGGATATACCTAGGCAAGAAATATGCTGCACAGAATACATCAACTCCATTTTTTAAAATCGGCTGCATTCCTATTGCAGCGCAGAGAAGTTTTCCCTTTGTGAAACCTTCAGAAGAGTTTTTTTGCTTGAGGGATGGGATTGACTGGGTCAATCATAAGGTTTTAATTTTGTCTGTGCTGCAGTTTGTGATTTGAGGCGTCCTATTCGTTGTCACTTTCTTCTGTGTGCAGACCAATCCCCGTTGTCTAGACAGGTGGTGTGAATTTTCTTCACAGGAGCTGATGAAAGCAGGAGAAAGGAAGAGGAAGGCTCTGTAAGGTCAAAAATGTCATACTGAGATCCCATTTCTTGCTTCTTTCTATCTTCTGCTACTGCTATGGAAGACAGCTTTTCTTGATAGGTTGGCTAAACTTTGGAGGATATGATCTCCTTTTTAATGCTGTAATTCTTCTTCATTCCTCTATGGTCAATATCAGATAGGATGCCAGCCAGGAGACGGCTTTACTTCCTTCTTGTTTCCTCCGATCTGTCTCTAGTGGGGATCTTCTCAGTGTTTGCTGCCTTCTGACTGCTCTTCGTTTCTTCACTTCCCTTTAAATGGCTGAAACTGTAAGTCCAAGTAAGTAGAAGCTCCTGAAACAGGCAGAGGTTGGCCTAGCAGCTCTGCTTTCCCAGTCCTGCATTGCCTTTTTCTTTCTGCTTTCTAGTCTAAATGCACGGAGCCCAGCCACTTGTTGCTGGTTCTGACTTGGATTCTGTGCTGTCTCGGGGTGGCACAGCTGGAAGCTTCGTTCTGGACTTCCCTGCTCAGGATGCACCTGGAAGGAGCCTCTCCCAGCGAGCCAACAATATTAGTGCCTGGCTACAGCTGGGACTTAATCAAGGAGCTTCTGTTACGGCACCATGACTGCAGCCCTCCTATGCAATGCAATGGTCCTCATACCAGAGTTTCCTGCGACGGCGTATCACGCATCAGGGGCTGTCTGCTGAACACCATTGCCTAAACTCACATTTAGACCACTAGAGCATTCCTTCTTCTGATAGCTAGATGGTGGAGGGGAAAAAAAATCAGCCTTGGACTTCCTCCCATAGCATCTTATTTTTTTAATTTTAGCTTTGCAGGCTCTTGGTTAAGCTGTCCATTTTGGTAAGAAATGTATGAAAGTGTTGCCAGAGAGGGCTCATCTGATCCTTGGCTAGTTGCCAGCTCAATTTGGCCTGAAATTTGTCGTTTCAACATCATTTGAAGGGCCAGGCCATGAACATGCAAAAGACAACTATGGCACATCTCAGCATCAGCAGCGAGGCTCTGAGTTCCGAGACGGCAGATCACAGCTGCTGGCATGGCAAAATGTTCTGAACTTTTCAGCAATCCATTTCTTTCATATTGGCACTTTATCCATTTATTTGCAAAGCCTGCTACACCTCATTTATTTATGTGCTTTTCTACTTAATGTATGTGTAACTCAGCATGCTTAAGAGGCACAACTTACAAAATGCAAAATAAGGAGAGGAATATTGCTGAGGTTGGGAGTTCCTGACTGGAGTGCTTGAGCTTCTCCTTTCAGACAGGGGAACAAAAATCCCTCGGTTGTTTTTTCTCCATATTTTACCATGAATGGGGACTTCCCAATCTACCTGTTGGTTTCCCAGTCTGACACGCTGCCAGAAGTCTGAAAAAAGGCTAATGCTGAGGAAGGATACTCTCATCCTTCGAAGTTAACACAGACAGATGACCCTCCTCGGCCACAGAGAGAAAGCCATTATGTTTGAAGACGTTGGTAGCCCAGAACTGTCCTTGCAGGTTATGTCTTTGTGGGCATTGCATCTCCCTGTACAATGTTCTTCACATAACTTTCAGGTGCAGCCACCTATCCCTGAGCTCCAGATGCCACGTGATACTTAAGTACCTGAGCAAAAAAAATATTTGGGGGGTTGGGTGAATCCCTGGATGCATCATAAATATCTGAGGGATCACATCCTTCAGCTGCATTGAACCTGGGATCTCTTCTGGTCCTTGGGCAATGACAGTTAATTTAATTCTTGCCCTTGTGGCATTGCTGCTCTGTGTCAGCTCGGTTTGTAAAAAACTTGAAGTGCCGGGTCTTTGCAATCCCAAACAGCACCAGGTCGGTGGTGTTGTATGGGCTTCTCTAGAAAGAAATTGGATAATTCCTTCCTGTTCATCTCAGTCAGTGATAGGGATGCAGAGACTGGGCCTTTTCTGTATTCTTTCTTCTTTCTTTGTGCAGTCCTTGTAGCAATCTAAATTTTATCACTCAGGAAGCCGCAGCTGAGTGGGGTCAGCCATCTCTTTCTGGAGGTCACAAGAACAGTTTTCTTCCTGCCTCCCCCTTGAAAAACTCTGCTATCTGAGCTTGCAGAGGAAGACTAAGAAGTTAGAAATCACACTGCTCCATCTTCATCTCATTATAAATTGTTGGCAGGTATCAGCATTGTTTCAAGTTTTAGTCTTTGTTTTAGAAGGGCATTTACAAATTCTAGATAAGGGCTTCTGAAAGCTCCCTGCCAAATTCTGACTGTCCTCCAGTACATCCTCCTACTCAAACTTTCTACCCGTCAGCAGCCTTCCCAGCTTTGGCCTTACCAATGCTGTTTTCAGCCTTTCACTTCCATAGAGCAGAAAGACAGCAAAAGGTGCTGACGTGCATCTTCCCCAGCAGAGAATGGGGAGATGGATACTGAGACAAGATCACAGACAAGACAAAGAGACTCACAGCATGGCTGGATGGCAAGAACAACACATGTGCGTATGAGTGCATGTGTGCATTTGTGCATTGCAGAGGATGCTGAAGGACGGTAGCTGTATTACATAGAGGTGACAGGGATTTCAACCTTCACCTGGCGTTTTGTATGTGGATTAAGGTCAGAATACTACGCTGGTGTACTTGTGCTGTTAATATAATCCCACATAAACCCACGGATTTCAGCAGGAATTCCACCTGAACATTGACTGCAGTATCCAGCCCTATATGGGTCGTAACATTATGGCTAACCTGAATCACCACCGCGCTATTTGCTTGTTTACTCTTGTTAGGGTAGCGTTATTGTTGTTTCTGAATAGAGTCATGTATGCAGCTCCCTAGCTCCTGGAGGCAGTAATTTCTTCCAGCACAGTAGTTTATTTCTGGAGGATGTTTTTAGTCTTTACCTCTTCAGCTCTTCTGCTGCTGATAATCCATGCATATGCGTGAGAGAGATTATAAGGAAGGGGAACCCCCTGGGCAGCCCTTAGACTCTTTTGCATTTGTGGGTGAAGGATGTGGCAGCAAAGCACACATTCTGCCCAGCAGCCAGTGGGAAAGAAAACCACCCATGCTGGGAGAGCTTAACCACAGCACATGGATCTGAGAGCAGACTTTCCCAAATGAGCCTGAAATCAAAATGGTGCTCCCCAGCATGAGAACAGTACCTGGCATCCAAGAAAGGATTTAGAAGTGCAGGTTGCTTAATTCAAGGCGATGGGGACAGAAGGGAAAACTATGCAGTGGTGCTGGAGAGCAGCAGAGATTTCTTTTCAGGACTTTCACAAAGAATTGGTTGTGGGCTGAAGTGATGCTTGAGGTCTCATCAAGGTGTTGAGGAACTTTCTGATATGGGTGAATCCTGCCAAAACCTAAGCAAAATTCGATACAAATAGAGTGTCATGGATCCTGCAGCCTAGGTAAGACGTTTACAGAAACGATCCTGCAGATGATGTGTTAGGAGGTGGCAGAGTGCACCCTCCTGCTTGGAGTCTTCATCCACCCCACTGACACTCTGTACGGGTGGTGAAGATCCACACAAAAAGGAGACGACGACGGTTTCATTTTGTAGCTTGAGATATCTGGGTTTGTATTTACTGCAGAGTGCTTACTTATTCCCTTTTTTCATGGTTGGCCTTGTGCCCAGTTTCCACACTACGCTATCCTGCTGCCGCTGCAGGATGGGGACCGATGCTCTTTGTGTCACCTCCCAGCCCTGGCTCGGAGCAGAAGCTCGGTCTTTCAAGTGATAGAGCATTCTGGCCTTCATCCAGACCTCATGGGTCTTCCACTGGAGCTCAGCCTCAGGCTTGAGGGGCTCATGGCAGGAATCTGCCATCATGGATCCCTTCACAGGACTGATCTCCGCGTGTTAATATTGACATTAACACAACCTTTGGGGTTTTTTTTGTTTGTTTTAATTTAAATCATTCCCTTTCCTTTGCAGTCATTTAAGTCTTTGCTTACTGTTCAGAGCAGAACAAAATTCTCATCCTTAGGTAGAGAGGGGTTTTTGTGGTTTGTTTTTTTTTTTTTTTTTAACTGGGATAGCATTAGATTTGAATTTGATGTATGGAAATACATCCAGGAGTTATAAGAGCTTCATGAATAAATGTGTAGAAAATGGACTGTGCTATCAAGGTATATCAGCCTGGGTGGGTACTTAAGTATCGACCAAATGGAACTGTGTAGAAGGAGTAATTCTGAGTATATCATGCCGCACGCAATGAAGGAAGAAAAGATTTTTGGTGATGCAGACTTGCGTGCGAGCTCAGATTCATTACTTCAGCACGGTGCTAAGTAGTAGGGCAGTCTGGTAGACGTTTCCTTCGGCTCATTTCAGGTGCACGAAAGAAGCTAGGGCCAGATAAGCTGGGTGCGTACTTGTAAGGTGTCAGCTGGCTCACAGTAACCGTGGGTATGTGCCCTCTTATCTCGCAGCAAAGGCAGCGGACCGTGCCTTTTTTCCTTCCAGCTGGTCCTTCTTGCCCGCAGCTGAGCGAGGGCGTGACAGATAAGGGAAGGGGGGAGGCAGAGCTGAGAGCTGGCGTGACTCAGCCATCAACACTCACCTACAAAGCAGAAGGACATGGATTCAAGTGTCTATATTTAACTGGGACCGCAGGTTGGGAGAAGGGTGGATGAGCTCCGCTCCCCTGGTGAGCTGCCAGTCCCTCACCAGCAGGTTCAAGCTGTATGTGAGCAGCTGTGTTTGGGATGGGCATCCACTGATCGCCATGTTTGGGTTCCAGCCCCAGTTCTCATTTGCAGAGCCCAAGAGATAGCTGTTTCTTGTTAATTCTATTGCAAATATCACAGAGTTATAGTTAGGGGAGATGGCAAAGTCTTGGCAGCCTGGCTGCTGTGCTGGGCAGCGGCTAGCTGAAAGGAGTTAAATGCAAAGACTTTAGTTCTGGAATCACATCCTGATCTGAGATACTTTGTTAGCAATAACCTCAGAAAATAGCTAGAACTAAAAGGCTCTGCACTTGCGACAAAATAGAGCTGACCTCAAAAATTGCTCTGCGTGTTTCAGCAGAAAATAAATGCTCGGTCAGATATGCATGTGCGTGTGCAGTTTCCTCTCTCAGCTGTGTGCCACAGCACTTATGTACTAGACACCCTGCAGATAAAACCATTTATTTGAAACAGGGTATTCTGCAGTAAATTAAGCTAAATCTAGATCTCCACAAGATGTCAGCAAAGCAAAGTGCATGCTCACAGGAATGCAAACGCAGAGGGCCAGGAGAGACGGCGGGTGGTGACTGGGTGCCAGCCAGGTCCGTGTCCCTCCTCACCCATCTGCTGCCGACCTTCATTAAAGCTCTGCGGTGGTGGGGACAAGCAGCCACCCCAGCGCTTCATTACCCTTTCCACGTGAAGGTGTTTCCTATAACTACCCTCTCTGCCTGCAATTTAAGCCCATGGTTTATTAAAACTAACCCATTCATTTACTTCTTACAGGGCTTGGCTGTTTAAATGGTAACTGCTTACGCTGAAATTTTTCATCCTTTCTTCTAATGGTACTTTGAAATATTTATCAATTTGTTGTTAAGCTGGAACCAGATTGGGATTGATGTTTTCATTAGAACTGCCAGTATAAATATGATGCCTGGTAAATTATTTGGTTTGGTAAATGTGTTCATAAGTTAAAGTGAGGAAATAGATAAAATGTCTCTAAGCTATAACAATGCGACTGCCCAAGCTTGCCTTTCAGTGCTGCAGCCTTCTTTTTTTCTAAGCCTTTGCACCAAGAAGTTATGTCAAATATTTTGGACTCCTTGGTACAGTTATAGCACCTTGATTTCTAACATTAACTACCTTTTTCGTAACAAGAAAAGTTTTAATTAAATGTTTCATAAGTACAAGGGTTATTCTCAGCAGTAGCTCTTAACGTGTGTTTAAGGAAGAAACTGTGTTGCAGACCAGGCATTGCCTGAGTTTTGCATTTCTGCCCTTACCTGCAAAGCAGCTGGACTGTCAGGAATTACTTTTTTAAGATCTTCAAAAAGATAACACTGTCTTAATTAAATATTTTGCTTTTTTATCTTATACTTAATGCTAATAGTCAAGAGCTTCACGCCAGGATAACGCAGGATAGATTTTATCTGGAGATGTTTTATAACACCCAGTACTTTTAACAAAGTTTTCGAAACTAGATAGTCTCTAGCATGTTTGCAGTTTCTTAAGAATCGCTATGGCTTCCAAAGTATTTTGTGATGACTTGTTTTCTTCCCAGATATATCTCAAGGTAGCAGCAGTGTACATTGTTTTTCCAACCCAAGCTACCACACTCTCTCATGTGGTGTGACTTCACGCTTCTTTACCAGTAATCTGGATGGAAACAGCTCCAGTAAGGTAGATATTATCCCACCCCACTGTAGCAATGTTCTTATCAGTTCAAGGAAATCAACCAAGGCAATGCCTGTTGGATCCTGCTGTCTGCCAGCATTATTTGACAACCCAGTGTGGCAGTTCCTGACATCGTAGCCCTAACAGACACAAAAAGTTCTGCTTTCCCCTGTGTGTGTCTTCGTAATCCCTGTGTGTGGTAACTGGAGCTTCAGCACATGCCTGTCTGGGCGAATAAGCCTCGGTGTCTTAGCAGCTATAAGGTATGTTTGCTTCTCAGAAAAGATAAATAACTAGGTGAAGGTAATCATCCATTAATATAACAAAAGTAAATCAATGAAGCATTAAGTCAGTAATCTAACTTGGCTATGTCATTGTTTCCCAGATCAGCAGACACACAAATTGCCTGCTGACAGAGACAGGCGGGTAGATGCAAGAAGGTATCGAGGGTGCTTCCGAGCACTCTTCTTGTCCAGGGCCATTCTGAGAGCTCTGCTGTTACTTACGGCTCTCCAGCAGAGCTATTCCCACTGTATTGCTCGAACATCCAGCAGTACCTTACTTATCACATGTTGCTATTGATTCCCTAGGACCATTCATGGACTACGCTATTACTCAATTCACCACTTCAGCAATAGATTTCGACATGGTAAATGGTGAGACAGCTCTTCCTTTAGGGCCTTAATAAGCCAAGGTGGGGCAAAGGGTAGAGAGCAGAGGAAAAAGAAAATGCAATTGATTTCATCAGGCTTGTCAGCTTTAAAAGTGATGGTACTTGCAGGCTGTGTCACCTTAATCCAAATGTAGCTCTGCTAACTGGAAAGCCATGAGAACGAGATTAATGCAAAAAAGACACTATTTTACAAGACAGGGGATGCAAAAATATTTCTACATGTGCTCCTGTAATTTCTTGGTTATTGAAAGAAAATCTCATTAAAATGTAATAAAAAGGCTGGCTCCAGAGATTTCTCAGAGAAAAGTTTACGCAGATGTGTAAATATGTTTTCTGATGTAGATGGTCCCCTTGCATCATGCATTTTTGCTCCCCAAATTGGAAGTGCAAACGCTCATAATGTCAAATTTAGGACAAACACCGTGAGGGTGGGTCTGGCCCACTAATCCCGTTGCAGTTATTTAAATGAATTCAGAAAAGGTCAAAGCAAGCACCTATCCTGATTTCCCAGCCTGCAGTGCCATCTTGTCACAGAGCTACTTCAAATATTAAGCTGCCAAAAAGGTTTAAAACCCAAGTGATTCATTTGGACTAGCCTGGAAGCTGCTTGCCTTCCTGTGGTACTGGCTATCAGTAGTCAGTCAGCAGGTTGTCTTGATCTTTAAAACAAAATACAACGGATCTGGTATTTTTAGGGCACTTACCAAAATATATGGCCTGACTTTTCCTTTAGATCTCCCACCACCCTACTTATTCATGAGAATGCTTTGCAGCACTGAATAGCTGAGGATGGCCAAAAATATGCTGCTTCTGTCTATGCAGTTCTCCAGCCAAGTAAGACAAAAGAGCATATAAAGCCCCTAATGGCTGCCTTAACGAGTTTCATTTCCAAATCAGTTCGTCTGGTGCCATTCCCGCTTTCTGCAGGGAAATGTGCACAAGTTGTACTTGGAGGATTCATTTCTTTATAGTGCCAGCTGGGGTCACAAAGGAACCAGTGCAGATGCAAAATGAAAAAAAATGGCAGAAGAATCTCTGAAGTGCTGGGCCAGAGCCCTGATGTATTGTCCTCCCTGCGCTCAAAGGAGCTCATGCCTTGAGGCGATGGACTGGAGCCATTCCTCTATCAGTTCTTTCAGAGAGACGGCTCGGGCAAAGGGGCAAAATGACAGCAACGGGGAGATGCAGCCCTGCTCCAGTTTGAGAAGGCTTCCTCTCTTGTGCGCTCCCCCGGCCCTCTGGTCCTCTCCTCTCTTTCCGTGGCTTATTTTGCCTTTTCTCTCCTCTTCCCTTGGTGTTCTTCCACTCTATTATCTGTTTTTTTCTCATATCCATTTTCCTATTCCCTTTTCTCACCCAACTGTACCCATATTTTTTCTATTTTCCTTCCTGCGGTCTCCACTTTCCTCTCCCAGCCCGGTACCAGCTCAGCAAGGGTCAGGCTGACTGCAGGGCACGGAGCAGAGCTGCCCTACGCGGCTGGCTGCATTTACTAACCCTGCTGCTCCTACCAGTGTACACAGTGGGTACTTCACCAGGGAAGCAGGGTAAGCAGGGATGGCTGACAGCAGAAGCTAAAAGGTCCAGCACTGCACTGAGGACCGCAGCTTGAGGCAGGTCTGTCTTCATAGGAAGGGTGCGGTGCCAAGGATTCTGGCATCTCCTCTGGGACCCGAGGGAAGGTATCTCACCTCCTCACTTCCCCTCTGCCGGACAGGCATGTGGCCGCTGCTCAGGACCCTACGCACGTCCTGAGGGTAAAAACGTTGAAGTTGCTGAGAGACGAGAATGAGTGGAGGCATTCAAATCCTCCCGGTGTATGCAGGACTGGTTAGTTGTGCTAGTGGAGCGCCCAGGCTGGAACACATGCGGGCAAAAGCGAGTGGGAAGATAAGGGGGAGCGTATGAGAAGAGACTGAAAAAAGGCTTGGCTTCTTTCATCTGGCAAAATGAATGCTGAGAGGGAGTATGATTGCCATCTATAAATACAACGGGGTAAACGCTAGGAGGGGGAAGAGCTCTTTTAAGTTAGATGACAGAGCTGGCACAAGAACAAATGAGGACGAACTGGCCATGGATGCATCGAGGCTGGAAGTTAGATTTCTAACATCAGATCAATGAGATTTTGGAATAGCTTCCCAGTAAGACTAATGGGACAAAGAAATCTGATTACTGTTAAAATGGAGCTTGATCAGCTATCTAAGTGATTATGTGCCTGGGTGTTTGCAGTAAAAGGCAGCTGGACTCCGGGACTCGGTGATCAGAGCCCTTCCAGTCCTGTGTCCCTAAAGCCGGCTCCGGCTGCCAGCAGGAGTTGGTAGCGCTGAGCTGTCTCGGTGCAAGGTCCAGGAGAACTGCTCTGCAGCTCTGCGGTTCAGGAGGAAGCAGAGGCTCCTGCATCTCAATGCAAGTTTTTAGCTACCAGCACCTTGCTACAAGCAAACGCTAATTGCAAAGTCAGCTCGGCTGAAATGCTGGCCCCATTGAATTCGATAGATATTTTGCTATTAGTTTAAGCAAAGCCAAAATTTGACCGTTGCCTATTGGCTCCTACAAGTAGGTTTGGCCTTTATTCTTATGACATGTGCAGCAGCAAACAATAAAGATGCTGCAAGTTACCAGGGAGTTTCATACGTGAACTCAAGTGATATTGTGCCGCAGAATTACTGCACCAAAATTTTCCAAAGTAGATACATAGAGATACAGACTTACCTCCATACCCGTGTCTTCACATCAGCGCTCTCATTGCTTGAGTTAGAGACCAGATTTTCAAATGCTGAAGACCTATTTCATTCAGAGGGCATTCGGTAGGACCATTCACAGAACCACTCTCAGTGCTTCAATGCCAGCTGTATATTTGAGTTTTTGAGTTGTTCCTGAATGCAGGCATATATGTCCCGTTTACAAAAGGCTGCATAAGTGTGAAAAATACCCTGTATAAAGCGTGAGGCTGCCGCACTGCTATGTCACGAGCCAACGGACCTCACCTTGCTCTTTTGCAGAGCTCTTAATTCCACCCTCACTCCCTAGCAAAGGAGAACGGCATCGCAGATAGAGCCCAGGTATTGCTGGTTTCTACAGACATGATAAAAATCAATTTCAATTAGATGTCCTGAATTTTTAAAGCCAGCAGATTCACATCTATTAAAGGAAGTTCTAAATTCTACCAAAGACTTCACATAAAATTAGAAACCGCAAAACAGATGTCACTGGAAATAGTCTGACTGGATGTCACCCAGCTAATAAAAACCACAGAAAGCATCATTAAAGTAGCTTTGACTAAAACTTGCCCAAGAAAAAGGAAGACTGCAAACACAGAATGGCTGCAGAGTGTTCAGGATGGCCATCTAAAACTGAGAAACACGGGCTTGGACCATGGAAACCTGAAGTCAGTCATCAGGGAAGTTAATGGCAAAACTCTTATCAATTGCTATCTTGGAAGATAAAGGTACGATGGAGTTCCTGCCAGCGCTTATTTGCCTAATCACCATGGGCTGCTTAGAAAACCTGAGCATCAACGAAGGGCATGTTGGTGATCCACTCGCCACTGTGATCTATCCGGCTATTTCAGATGGGCAGATAATGACTTTGCTTTACTTATGCTGGTATCTTGCTGATCTTAAAGGAAAAGTTGCCAGATAAGAGGTAGTTTCAACCAGATTGCTAAAATTATAAGCTAGGATTTTTAGTGGATAAATTCACTATGAAATATTTTTTCCTCCAGAAAAGCAATTTTGCCTCACACTAAAAGTTGAAGTATCTTCTATCTTAAAAAAAAAAAAAGAGGTTAACAAATTACAGTGTGTTAAGAAATTATAGTAGCACAGAGACAGCTATGATCACATTTCTTCGTAATTACTGCATTCTGAAAAACTTAGAAATGTCCCCAAATCATTTCATTAAAAAAAATCAATTCTAGCCCATGGCTCTTCATGCCAAATTTTAGGTTTGTGAGCTGATTTATAAATCCTGCAAAAACACATCTTTTAACAGAAACTCAAGGACTTTAATAAATGTGATCCAAGAGGTGCAGCTGGATTGCAAATCAGCATTCATGTTATTGCTGCGCGTTTTGAAATGAAGAAAAAAGCCGCGGGCTCCGCTGATGAAAGCCGACAGTGCCGTTAGCGGGGCTGCGCCGATTTACACGGGCAGCGTGTAGGGCCAAGAACGTGGCTTTCTTCCTCTGCGCCCACGTTCCGAACCAGCCTGCTTTTCATCGCCTTGCCGTGGCTCATTTGCTCTGACTGCCCCGCCCGGCCGTACCGCGTATCTGCTGGCGGTGTTTATGCTCCCAGTTTGGGGGGAGTACAGGGAGCTGCAGAATGGTAAAGAAATGACTCCTTCAACTGGGAGACGCCAGATGCACAGCCCATGCCAGGAGCGAGGATGTGCAGTCACAGCCACTGCTCTCGGGCAGCGATTGCTCTGGAAATATTGCAGGCAACCGGCTTTATCAACTTTCTCTCTGCTCGAGGCATGTCCTTGAGGAGAGTGGCTGGTGCAGAGGTGCCTAATGAGCTGATGACACACGGTACCTTAGCGGGAATATATAGAGACAGAAAATGCGAAGGAACAGGACGAGGCACTAGATATAGCCACCACTGCGCTGCTGGTGCTGTCTGATGTGAGATTCATGGACTGGGGGCCACAAGGGACCGTTGCGATCATCTGGCTTCACCTCCCGCACCGCGCAGGGCACAGAACCGCCCTGAATTAATGCCTCTCGCAAGGTCAGTGCTGCTGGCTCAGCAGCAGGATCCCTTGCAGGCAGAGCCTGGCTTTCACATGGATTTGAAATGGGCTCCTTTCGGTGTGCTGGCATTAATCTGTCTTTGTCTCTGTGTGTTCCTGTGTGTATACTTTTATATATATATGTGTATGTTTATATATATATATACACACACACACGTCTGTCTGTGTGTGTGTGGTCGGTGTCTTTGCGCTATTGCGTGTCCTGAGTCTTTCTTCCAGGCTGGAGTT